TTTTAAAACAGTCCTTAAAGATTTTGCTGAACTCCATCATTACTCCAAATTTTACGCTGAAAATGAAAAAAAAAAAGATCAAAGAAAATAAATCTAAAAGTTTTTAAAACCAGTTCAAAAAGGCAAACCATTGATAACATAAAAAAAGAAACACAGAGGACAAACATTCAATATACAGAACAATATTTGTTTTGCACCTTAAAGGAAAATATGTGCCGAGTTTGTGAGAAGGACGGACCCTCCTCTGTTGGACCCTCCTCTTTGGCGTTTCTCATGAGTCCAAACTGGAACGCCTCAGGGTCAGGTCATTGGACGCCACATGTTCACAAGCTGTGTTTTCATCAAATTAAAGGGGATTTWAAAAAAAACATGCCTGCTTGGATTAAAAAAATTTTTAAAAATTAAAGTTTAACTAGGGCGCAGAGCATGCACCAATAAAAACCAAACAAAAACATGAAGGTGAGTTTATTTTTTGGAAGGGGACATGAAGGCGTTCTCGATGCAGAGGACGATGTAAGAGCCGGAGCAGCTGCTGGGGGTCTGCTGCAGGAGGTGGCCGCTCTGCAGCGAGGACGCCAAACCGGTCACGGCGCGGTCGCCTGCCCGCCACGTTTCACAGTAGTGGTCCATTTGCCGATGGCCCTTACTGCTCGACCCGTGCCAGATCATTTTCTCCGGCCTGGAGGGGGAGGGAAAAAAAAGGTCAGAAACAACAAACCAGGCAGCTGCTTTGTCCCATTTCAGGCTGCAGAGTTTCCAGCACAAATATCAAAAACCCACCACGCGCTGTCCCTGAGGATGTCTCTGCCATCGAAGGAGTAAATCGGTACATTTTCTCTCATTCTGCTGCTGTCRTCACTGAAGATCGACTCCCAGCTGTCAAACAGCTTTTGGTTCTGAAAGGAAAGAAAAGAAACAAAAGTGCATCAGATGTAGATTCTTCTGTGTAAAGATATTGGAGCAGATGATGGATAATCTCGCTATGACTCACCTTGAGGTTGACGATGGGGAAGCTGCTCCGGTCCTGCCTGCGGACGATGGTGTAGAGGTCCTGGAGCTTGGAGGACAGGAAGGCTCTGAAGGTTCCCTTCAGTCCCACAGCACGGGCCTGCTGGAAGCACATGAAGTCCGCTCCACGAATCCCTCGCATGTTGCCCGTCTGAGGTGTGTTCAAGGCCACCAGGTGCAGCTGGGGAAAAAGAGAAAAACATTTATCTCTGGGTTTTTTCTGTGCAACAACATTTCTTCGACAATCAAGTTTTTGACAGAAATTTAGTTTTTGATTATTAATATTCCTGTTACTTAAAAAACAAGCACCCTCACAGAATGTTGAGGAGTTTATCCCATTTTTATGAATTATTTAGTGATGAAAAACATGATATTATTACAGCTTGAATGGACTCTAAACTTAAGTTCCTCTGCACACCACATATTTCAGACTGGTTGTTGTTCTTTAGATTTTGTTGTTGTTTTTCCTATGGTCCTTTTAAACTGGTGTAAAGGGTGTATTCACACCTGACACATTTGTTTCCCCCGTTGGTCCCGACCTGTTGTGAATACACTCAGGAACCCTGGTGCAGATCAAACAACCGAACCGAGACCCACTTTTGAGGTGGTCTCGGTCCACTTCCAAACAAACTCTGGTGCGGTTCACTTCTGGTGTGAATACAGACCGGCCTCGAACTGAACCAACTACAGGAAACTTGCACCTTTTTGGACTTCATGAGCCACGTTGCTAAGAGCCATGGTAATGATTAGCCTTTTAATGTTGCTAACGCTAACACTGTGCTACAAACAATGAGCCGTTGTGGGTCAGGGAACGTGGAGCATCCCTTCTCCTTTGGGTTGCAGCGCATACTTGACAATGCTGTCCCTAAATTATATCATCGCAAAACCAAAAATGAGCTGCTCTTGAAATTCTTAAAGGGGCATTATTATGTGTCTCTCAGGCATATATTTAAATTCTATACTATAATAAAGTAACTATGTCACCTTCAGTTGTTATTAAAATGCTGTTTTATGTTTAAATAGAAAATAAACTTCACTTCTCATCATATCTGTTTCTAAACACCTTGAAATTGGTCTCTGTCTCTTTAAGAACCTCCTTCTGCTTCTGTCCCAAAAAGTCTGCTTTTAGTCCGGACCAAACAAGTGGACCAATGGACTTTTAATGAATAATTCAATAATATATTATTTAATAGATAAAAAAATATAAACAAAGACAAGCTGATAACACAATATATTATATTAAAATTGTCATTTTATAGTGTTTTTATCCACTCACTCCTGACTCTGAAGTCTCAACGCGGACAGCAGGACCAGGCACAGGGGGGTTGGGATGCTGCTGGGGGGGCTCAATGGGTCGGATGACAGAACCGCTCTCTGAGTAGTGGCCTGCTCCGTTGTTGTGAGGTCGGTCTGGGCTGTGGGGGTACAAAATCACAGGTGGAGGCTGGACTTCTGCCACCTCGTTGCCCTTTACACAAAAAAATCAAAAAGATTTAATGATCATCTAGTCAGGAWATGCCACGCTGTTTTCTTTTTTTTTCTCTCTCTCTTTCAAAAACTTACCAAACCTCCAAATAAGGAACTGTACTCTCCAAGCTGAGGGGGAAAAACAGCTGCTTAGTGACATTTTTACATTAATAAACACTTATAAACTAGGGGTATGGAGTCTGTGTGAAACCTAAAAACCCACTTTAATAAAAAATATCTAAATGTTATCTTGAGCTTACCATGACTTGTCGCAGTCCATCACGCACTCTCAGATAAAGGTCTGCGTTGTCTAAGATGTATATCAGACTGCCTTCCTGCTGCTGCCTGGCTGTAGCAATCATCGTGTCGTAAGATCTCAAAACTGTGACCTGCAGAGACAGAAACACCAAGAATATATCAAGAAAATGTAAGAAATTAAAACATTTAACCATCATCAGGCTCCAACATCAAACAGCATAGATACTGCAGGTGWTGGGACAGGAAAAGAATGAACAAACTAAACCTACTCCAGATGAGTGACCAGGACTTCCAGGTGGACCAGGTGGGCCTGGAGGTCCAGGGACGCTGACGGCTTTAAGTCAAAACACAGTTTACATGTGAATAAAATGATACACAGAGCTCACTTGTGTTTTTGATAGGAATGAACACACATTGAGATTTACAGCTTATAAACTTAAACATGTACACACAACCCCCTCCCCCCACACACACACACACAGACACACAAACGCGGTCAAATGTTGCGATCGTCACAATATTTGCAGATCAGAGTTTTGTGATTCAAAAATCTAATTCTGAAAACTGAGTCAAAGAAAAAGCAGCTTACGATAATTAGGCTGATATGATCCAGAAAATGTGGAAGACCCAGGGGGTCCAGGTGGACCAGGTGGTCCTTGAGGACCAGGACGTCCATCATAACCAACCCCTGGTGGCCCTGAAGGTCCCTGGGGTCCAGGTGGGCCCATTATAGAGTCTCCTTTTGGACCCTTAGATGAAAGAAACAAAAATGGAAAATACTGAAACCAACAAGCAACAAATCCATCCATCCATCCATCCATCCATCCATCCATCAGTCCATACATCCATCCATCCATCTA